ATCTAAAAATTTTGGGGTTTTTTTGTCTGTGAAAGCAAAAAATATTTGATTTTTTCTTTGCTATGGGTCGATGACAAAAATGCGAAATCATCATCTTCAACTGGGTTTTTAAATTGCTCCTTTACGATGCATGTCCCATCCAAAGTTGATTCCAATCATCTCAAGGTTCATTTGTTCCTCAAGAATCAACACTCTCAAAATCAACCGGCTCTGATTCCCAAATTTCACGATTCAATGGATTTCGTCAAAGGTAAAGTTCAAAAGCTTCGGAATTTGTTTGAATCAGGCAAATCTTCATTGTCTTCATCCAACTTGCTCAGTCCTAAAGAACCTGCCTCTAAGCCCGTTTTAAGACCCACAAAATCGATGATTTCGTCGGGATTTATTAACCCTTCAATAAGATTACCCGGGACTAAAGATCGCATCGTTGTTTATTTAACCAGTTTTCAAGGAATTCGAAGGACGTTCGAGGATTGTTATGCGGTGATGATGATTTTTAGAGGGTTCAAACTTTGGGTTGATGAAAGAGATATTTCCATGGATGTTGCTTATAAGAAAGAGTTGCAGAGCATCTTGAAAGTGAAGAATGTGACTTTGCCCCAGGTTTTTATCAAGGGAAAGTACATCGGTGATGCCGATGTGATCAAAAACATGTTCGAAATGGGTGAATTGGCTAAGATTCTTGATGATTTTCCCAGGAGAAAACCTGGGCTTGCTTGCAATGCTTGTGGAGATGTCAGGTTCATGCCATGTGAGAATTGCAGTAGTAGTCGAAAATTGTTCGATGACGACGAAGGCTTGTTCTGAGGAATCGAAGTCGATCAAAATTACAGGTTGGAATCGGAGCCGATCGAAGCAGGAAAAGAACATGAGAAGAAATGAAGAAGCAAAATTAAATTAAAAAATTTAAACTTTAGTGACTAAAATAAGAGTGAGAAGATAGGTGAGTGATGAATGGTGTAATTTACCTAGAAAACATATTTTAAAGTGTCACTTGTCGTTGTCGTAGGGTCCCACGTCACTTTCCGTGAAGGAAGTGGGTGAATCCATTAACGGCAAAAACATCATGTATGAAATCGAGAAGTTTTAAGCATTATGTATGAAACTGAGAATCGATTATAGTTCATGTATTTTTTGTTGGAAATATTTGTATAAATTTTTATTATAAATTATTGAGTGATTAGATTCTTAACAGTTTTGTGATTTTAAAAGTATTTTTTGAGATACATGAATTATTAAATTTATTGTATAGGAAATTCAAATACAAAACTTTAGAACTTATATTTAGTGATCCAAATAGTTTTATTTAATTAGGATATTAGAGACTACAACTTTAATCAAATACAATTATTTATTGTAGTAAGGATCATAAAAATTAAATGTTATTCAATAATTTTAAATAAAGTTTCAGGATTTATATCTAAATGATTTTCATAATTTTATTTAAGGAGTAATCACATCATCTTAGTTAAATAAATTTATTAAACACATGCAGAAAATATATGTATTAAAGCTCACTGCATAATTTAATAAGATAAAATTATTAGATGATTTTTCATAATTACTCACAAGAGTTATAAAAATAAATTTAATAATTTTGTCAAATAAATAGAAAATAAGTCTATCATGAAATAGATCTATTAATTTTTCAAAATCCATTGGCTAATACTAGGGGTGGTTAATGAGTTGAGCAGTTCAAACTCGATTCGGTCAAAGCTCGATAAAAACTCGACTTGAGATGACTCGACTTGATATGACTCGACTCGAGACCTTAACGAGTTGATTCGAACAAACTCCAACTCGACTCGATAAGTTCGCAAGCAGCTTGTTAATTTTTTATATAATTTTTTCACTAGTTATCTTTAAAAACTATTTCATTTAAAAAATTATTAATTTACTAATAGACAATAAAAAAGATGATGAATTGCTAATCTTAAACAGTAAAAAATACTAAATTATTGATTAGTATTTTACTACACTAAAAAATCAAACCATATTTATTATTTTAATGTATTTGTAGATTGTTATTTTGGAGTTTAGACTTTGAAATTGTTTCATACACTTTTTTGATAATATTTTTGGTTAAATTTATTAATTTATGTTTATATTAAGCTTTGTATAGTATTAGTAGATTTTACCTATAATTAAGAAAATAAGGTAAAAGTTTCGGTGAGCTTAACGAGCAACGAGTCGAGCAACAAATTATTTTAATGAGCACGAGTCGAACAAAAATTTAACAAGCTTAACGAGCAACGAGTCGAATCGAGCAACAAAATTTTTTAACGAGCACGAGTCGAGAACTGTCCAACTCACGATCGACTCACTCGATAAGTACCCTAACTAATACTCTAATCATGAAGGTTACATTAATTAAGAGTTTTATAATAACAGTCTCTATATTGTTTAACAATTTATCTTATTTTTTTATTTTGATAATACGAAATCTAAAATATTATATTAAACTTAGTAACAACATCCACTTTCAAAATTACATTAATCCACACAAAATTACATTTAAGAAAATAAATTTTACCGCAACACACTAATTATATTATTTTCTTTCATTTTGTTTATTACTTGTGATAATCAATACTAATTATTTTTTAGTAGTATCTTTTTTTAGCCGAAGTCGCTTTATATAATTGAATTAAGCATAGGTTTAGAATATTTAAATATTACTTGAATCAAAATATAATTCATTTTATAACATTTAAAACATATAGTTAAAATAATTATTTTATTAATATTAAACTTGAATATAAAAAAACATAAACAAGGTTATGTTCGAGTTCGTTTATTTATCTTTGAAGGTGTTCATGTTCGGTTCGTGTTCATTTGAATTTTTAATATCGTGTTCATATTCGGTTCTTGTTCGTTTAAATTTTTAATATCATGTTCATGTTCATGTTCGTTTATTTATTTTTGAAAGTATTTGTGTTCGTTTTTGTTGTTGTTCGTGAACATGTTCATTTATATTTTTATGAACGCGTTTATTTATATTTTTATGAACGCATTCATTTATATTTTTATGAACACGTTCATTAAATGTTCATGAATATGTTTATTTAACGTTCACGGACATGTTCGTTTAACATTTGTTTATATGTCCAACTTTTAGTTTTACCATTTCATTTGCAAGCTAAAGAAAAATGATAAAATTATGCCAATAGTTCTTAAACTCCTTAAAATTCACAATTTAAAATTTAACTTTTACTATGTGTTTAATTTAGTTCATACCTTCACTAATATTTAAAATGTAAAAGAAAATAAAAGAAAAGGAGAAACATGTAAATAAACTTGTTCATGGACATAAATGAACGAGTCGATAAATAAACTTATTTATGAATATAAATGAACAAGTCGATAAACGAATTTGTTCATGAATATAAACAAACCAAACACACATATCACATATGTTCATGTTTATTCGTTTATTAAGTGAACATAAACAAAATTTATTCATACATATTTATTTAGCTTAACAAACGAATATATATATATATATATATATATATATATATATATATATATATATATATATATATATATATGAACATTTTACCCAACACTTATTCATTTGCATACCTACACAATAGGTCTATAATGGACAAACTAGTGGTGGTTCCCGCTTTAGACAAACGATTGGACCCACAACCTTACATTGATTAAAGGAGTGGGCCAACCTTACATTGATTAAAGGAGTGGGCCAACTCTAATAGTTTATCCTTTATTTTTAAATTTGATGATTTTATAGAATATATTTATATAATTTTATATAACAATATTTTGTCACACATATAATATTAATAAATGAAAATACTTTATTAAGGAACATATAAAAAGCTAAATGGAAAATATTATAATTAAAGGGGTTAAAAGTTATTATTTACACTCGTTGAACTTCAGCTAGAGTCTCGAATAATTTTTTAATTATTTTATTTAAAGATTATATACAAATTGAATTAAACTTATAATAATATATGTGTATTCCTTGCAATACTTTATTATATTTTAAAATAGGTACAATTTAATAATACTTTTAGTGTTGAATTATCGTGATATTAAACTCATGATTAGTAGAGATAATATTTTATAGGGTAAATTACACATTTAATATCTATACTATTATTTTTGTTTCATTTTGTTACCTAAACTTTAATTTTTTTTAAAAATCATACCTAACGCTTTGGTTTCAATTTGGTATACATCGTTAAAAAGTTAACAGGATTGATGACGTGACATTTTTTTATTTTTTCAATGATGACATGACATTGTCTTATATTGACATCACCGTTAAATTTTTAATGATGGATACAAATTGAAACCTAAATCAAACGTTATGTATAGTTTTGAAAAATAATATGTACAAAAACAGAACAAAAGTAATAGTTTAAATATTAAACGTGTAGTTTACCCTACTTTATACTAGACTATTTTAGGAATAATGTTAAAAATATCCCTAATGTTTGACTAAATATCCACTTTTGATTCCTATTTTTTTAGATTATTTTGGCCTTTAACGATTTATTTTGGGGGGAAGCTCGTCTATAGATGTAAATCGTTGGTTAATAAGTAATTAACATTTTAAAATAGGGTTTTTTAAAATTAAAATGAAACATTAAGGTTCAAAATGTTCCAAAAAAAGAATAAGTGTCAAAATGATTATCCAGTCAAACGTTATGGGTTTTCCCCTGAAATAGAACGTTGGTTAGGGGCTAAAATATTTTAAAAAAGAGAATAATAAATAAAATGACCATTTTAATAAATATTATAGATTAATTTTGACATTATATCATTTTTATCTCGATCAAAATGGTACAAGTGATTGGAGACCCGAAGGGAATACTAATGTAGCAAATGAAAAGAAAGAAAGAACGAAACACTAAAAAAATAGAGAGAATACTTAAGGTTGAAAATTGAACGGTGAATAATTGAATTTGCAAAGCAAATACGTAAGCAAATGTAACAATAATCAATTAATACAAAAGAGAGAAAAATAAAGACAAGCAAAACCAGATACATTGAACCTGGACATTTTTGGTTAAAAGTGTCGTCGGCCTATAAAAGAATCTACTTCTCCACATTGGTTAATCCAGACGTGCGGTTTACAATATTCATATTCTTCACCAATCAAATGGCTCCAACAATGGCGGTAGTAGCTAAGAGAAAGGAGGAAGAAGAGTTGAGGAAGAGAAACGAGGAGTTAGAGAAGGAATTGAGGGAGAGTAGGAAGAGAGAGGAGGAGATGAGGAAGGAGCTGCGGAGGATATGGGAGAGGTTGAGGGTGGCGGAAGAGGCGGAGGAGAGGCTTTGTTCGCAGCTGGGGGAGCTGGAAGCGGAGTCGGTGAATCAGGCGCGTGCGTACAGCGCTCACGTAATTTCCCTCATGGATCAGCTCTCCAAGGCCAACAACAACGTTCTCGTCAATAACCACCGCTCCTCTGCTCCCATCTCCATCCTCTGATTTTGAATTTTTATAGAAATTAGAGTTATGGCGTCTGAATCCCTTGCTTTTTGGGTATGGATCCGTACATAATATTTGGTATTGTTATGGGTAACGTCGTGATTTTCTGGATGTTGCGCGGCGTGTAGACTTTGTTATTTTATTCCTCTCTCTTAATAGATTAGCTTTGTTCCTTATGCTTTTGATTGCCGGAGATGACAATCGGCCGGCTCAGTTTTTAATCGACCTTAATCCGACATGAAAAATAAAAAATAAAAAAATCGAAATTAACTCATTTTAATCTCTCTTCTCTCAAATTTCGTTTGAACTCGAATTTGAATTTTAAAAAGATACGTATACATCATTTAATTTTGTCTTTTGATTTGTTATAATTGAATTTTTAATTTTGTTAATTATAACATTGAAATTTAATTTTATATTCTATGTTATTTCACTTGTTAAGTCAGTAAGGAAATAATAATAACACGATTAATGGTTGTTGACACACGTTTATCAAAATGATATCGGTTTGGAGTGGTTGTTCTAAACTTTAGGTGTATATAGATTATGTTACTAAACTTTCAAATAGTTTTCTTTTTTACTATTATATTTTTCGACCGTTATCAACAATCAATTGTCACCCGTCACTAATCATTTTTTTCAACAAAATCAATATTAAAATGTTTACATTTGACTCTTCATTCTTTCTAATTAATTTTTAATGAAATCTATTTAAAATTGACGAAATCAAATAAAAAAGTACCATTTTTTAAATATTTAGAAATTTTATTAGATTTACAAGATTTAAAATATTTGTTAAAAAATCTAAACAATAAAAATATTATTTCAAGAAAGACGAATGATGTACGTCAAAACTAACCTCATCGCTCGATTATTAAAAGAGATGTACGTCAATTTTGAATGGGTTTATAAGTTCCTCACTAGCGAGTTTTGTTATTTTATCCGCAACTCTATTACCATCCCATTGACACATGCCACCATCTTGACGGTTTTACATTGTCGCTGAACCTAACATAACTGCGGATGTGTCAATATGGTATCTTTAGACTGATGTTGTACTCAATCATAGAATATAAACAAACCTAGAAGGAAACAATGAATTGAGGAATGAGCTACAAAGTTCATTATGGTATCCCAACAAATAAATAACTATAAAGATTTTTTATTAACATAATTTAACCAAAAACTTAACTTTATATGATAGATGCAAATCAGAATGTAAATACGAGCTAGTAAACTCCTAACTTCTCGTACATCCACTAAATCTCCACAGGTCAAACTCCCCAATACTCATAATTCTCTTTCACCATCAATCAATAATACATAATCGAATTATTTAATCAAGCATAAATATAATATGATATATAACCTATGTTTCAAATTCAGAACAAGTTTATCAAGTTATTTAAATGCATGACTTATGGATGAATCAAAGAAACAATGTGAATGGCTTCCTTATTTAATATTCTTGATCTCATAAAGTACCCCATTGATGCACATTCACTTTGTCAAATTGATATAATTGATTCGATTATGCATGATGTTTTTGCAGAAGAGAGCATTGATTATGAGTTGAAATTAAATGCACAATCCAATTTAAAAGAGATTAACGAAGAGAGGGGTATAGAAGGATTGTTTTCAGCATCATTGTTTGAACCAATAAATTCAAATGGAAAATCTCTTCTACCACTTATGAGATGTTACCTTCTATCGTGGAGGTACTCAAATTGGAATTAAAAGATTTATCTGATAACCTAAAATGCATATATTCGGGGAAATGTGAGACTTATAACATGAAATGATTTGAAAGGGTCAAATGTTTTTTCAAATTTTCAATCGTAACTAATTAAGGGATCGATCTTTCGAGGAAAAATATTAATCTTTTTTGTCTTTTCCAAAAGGATGTCTTTTTATGCATTAGATCGATTCAATGAATATTCAAATCACATAAATTAGTCCTAGTAAAGAAAAGATAAATCTTTTTAAGAAATAGATTGATCCTTTTGACAAGAGATCGATCTTTTTAATAATTTTTAAAAAAAAACTTAACTAAGTGCAAAATCGATCATAAATGAATTTGAAAATTTCTAATTTAATTGAAAGACATTTAAAACATATTTGAATTTTAAATCGTTTTTGAAGTACTTGACAAATTGTATCAAATTTAAAATTATTTTTATTAATTTTATTATATCAAAATATGACTTCAATAATATTATATTATATTATATCACATCAATATTATATTGTTGTTGTTCATTGAGTATCTGAATTCGAATAACAAAGATGTCACGGGTGTAAATGTCCAATATTAAAAGATTGAGAGTTATCTTCGAACATTTCATTGTCTTTACTATAAATTAGTAATAATAATAAGAGAAAATAACCTCAGTGACCAAAAATCCCATATAATATACGATTTTAACCAACTTTTTCCGGATTTGCCAAAATGACCAACAAAATTGCAATGCGATCGCTAATTCGCAACGCGATCTCCATTATCGCAAATTCGCGTTGCATTTTCGCAATGCGATAGTTGAAAATCGCGTTGCGATTGTCTACAGTATCATTGCGATTTTCCCAATTCGCAATGCGAATAAGTAAATCGCAACGCGAATTGGGAAAATCGCAATGCGAATAAGTAAATCGCAACGCGAATTGGGAAAATCGCAATGCGATACTGACTATCGCAATGCGATAATAAAAATCGCAACGAGATACTTACTTTCGCAATGCGATACTGACCTTCGCAACGCGATAATACATAATCGTAATGCGATTTTCAAAGCGCCATTAGTATCCTGGCCAAGTATTTTATTTTTAAATTCCAAACATGAATATTAATATATTGAAACACTGAACTGTCCACAGTATATCCCGTAATCGCAACTCATAACCTAAAACCTAAAATCACAACTCAGTCCCATCTCCATCTCTCACTCTCTCACCCATCTCCGACGAAATCCGTCCCCATCTCCGGCGAAATCCGTCTATCTCCATCTCTCAGAGCCACCCTCACAATCAGAAATGGAAAATCAACCAAATCAACCAACGAGGGTTAGTTTTTTTAATTATTTTCTTTTTGAAATTTTTGCATTATTATTAGGTTTTTCATATTGAAATTGATGATAAGTTTACTGGTAATTTCAATAATAGATTAACCATTTCACTTAGATTGCTTATTAAATCAACCAAGAATCGCAACGCGAAATGCAAATCGCAACGCGATTTTAGTTTCGCGTTGCGATTCTCTCGTTGCGATAGTCATTTTCGTGTTGCGATTTTCATTTTCAGAAACTATTCTTCTTCTGCAAATTGAAACTTGAATGAATTGCATTACTTCAAACAAAGACAAATACGAAATTCACAATGTTGCATATTTAAGTTTGAAGAATAAACTACTACTATTTATGTTTTTGGTATTCTTCATGTAGTTTTTGGTATATCTAATTTAGTATGTTTATTGTTTTTGTAGAACTTTTATTCGGCTCAATTGACCTTGAGAAATAAAGTCAGCCTGGCCAAAAACAATTGCGTCGAAGCTTTCACCTGCACAAAGAAAAATGTTTGAGGATACATGCTTCGGGCCATGGCTGAAAGTACAACATCCCGGTGGAGATGCGATGTTGACACACCTGTTTCTTCAAACCATGACTAGCGATCTACCAGAGACTATACAACGTCGTGATGAAGAGATATGGTTTGATTTTCCACCGGCGTATACGTGTTTTTTGGGCGGGAGGAGTTTTGCTTAATCACCGGTCTACACTTCGGACACGATGATGTAGGTCGGTACACTAGACACATTACCCGCCCATCATGGCTATCCCGGGTTTTTCCTGAGCTGGAGAGGCCGAGCCTACACGTAGAAGACCTGACAAGATTTTTGAATAATAAAGATGGTTTTACTCGGATGCATGACGTCGACGTTGTCCGAGTATGCCTTCTAATTCTTTTGCATGCCGACTTTTTAGGCAGAGAGGCCAGACAACCTATTCCAGATGATCTAATCAAATTGGTAGAAGACCTAAATGCGTGGAACCTGTTTCCGTGGGGCTCGTATTTATGGAAAGCTACATGGAATAAGTTATCGTCTGCCTTGGATGATCGAAAAAGTTTGCATGGCGATGGTTCCAAATACACTTTGACAGGCTTTATTTGGGCCTTTAAGGTAAGAATTTTTATATGATGTTTCCAAAATTATAAGTAATTATTTAACAATTACTAATGTTTGTTATTATATTGTTTGTAGATTTGGATATTTGAGGCCTTTCCCGCCATGAAGACATATGCAATAAAAACTTCAAATGATATTCCCAGGGCTATTTCCTGGAAGAGGAAACGGACCTTGCAATGGGAAGATTTACTACGGTATACGACAATAAATAATGTAAGTTAACATAAATACTACCATATGTTTATAAACAAGTTATTACTAGTACAAGTTTAACTTTGTTTGAGCTTTTATATTGTTAGGAGGCCAACACTCCTCTACAGAGGCTGACACCCACGGAAGCTGAGCTTGCCACTGATTAGTGGCAAGCTAGTAAGCGTTTTTTTGATGGAACGGTTGATGAGCAGCCTCCACTTCGGGAGCCATCACCTCGCCCAGAGCTATCACCTCACCCAGAGCCATCATCTGATCGACCCGGCTATACACCTCCACAACGACAGCCATCACCTATTCTGTCACATCATCGAGCCTCTTCTCCACCATCACCGCAAGATAGGCGACCGGCAAAGATGCCACGACGTTTATCTCCCTGTTCTCCACCTCCACCTCAACGGGATGAGTTAGGGGAGTTACGTGATGAGGTCAATACCTTGCGTGAGGAGGTCGGTACTTTACGCAAAGACGATGGTGCATGGCGTGTTGAGGTGTCTACATTACGCGGTGAGGTAGCCGCTCTACGTGAGATGGTAGCATCGTTGCAGAATGAGGTTCATACTCTACGCAACGAGGTAAGTTTAAGATTTTTCATACTCGTAATTCATTCGGTTGCTGCCAATACTGCTAAACTGTTTTTGTTAGTATTTGTTTTTGGTTTTGTTTTTGTCTTTTGGTTGAAGTAATGCAATCCATTCAAGTTTCAATTTGCAGAAGAAGAATAGTTTACTTTCGCAACACGAAAATGACTATCGCAACGCGGAAATGGCTATCGCAATGCGAAATGAA